CCCCAAAACCCCAAAACCCCAAAACCCCAAAACCCCAAAACCCCAACATGGAGGATATATACTGAAAGAATTTATCCGAATTAATAATAGATATTTAATGAAAATGTCCGCGAGAATGCCAAAAATGAAAAGGTCCAAAGATCTCCGTCTTCTGGAATTTCTTGGTAACTCATTCCCTCAAGAAGTTAAGAAGAAGCTGGATACTGAAAACCTCTATGGAAATACACCTTTAGTTCATTGAATCAAGACTAAAAGATTTGATATTGCAAAACAGATAATTGACTTTAAGTTCTATGAAGAAGATAGAGTTGATAAATACACTCGTTTGACTCCCCTACATCATATAGCTAAAGTCCCAGATGAAGGTTTTATAAAGGTGATGATTTCAACCTTCCATTCTCAGATTAATAGCAAAGATTACCAAGGAAACACTCCTCTTCATTATGCCTGTTGGTTCAGAAATAGAAACTATATTGAACTTTTAGTAGAAAATGGCGCCAATGTTACACTTTCTAATGAAGAAGGAAATACTCCGTTACACATATCATGTGCGGGAAACAACCCTCAGTTTGATCATTCTCCTAAGCAAGAGGACTATCTCATTAACAATGGAGCAGATGTAAATGCAAAGAATAAATTTGATGAGACACCTTTGATGATGATGTTCAAATTGTTAGGCGAAGATGAAGTCATCAGCTCAGGTGTTGATAGCAAGTTTGATCCTATAAGCACTCTCATGATACTGCTGAACAACAAAGCAGACATTCATGCTAAGTCAAAGTCCTTGAAGACTCCTCTCCACTACGCTTGTATAAGAGGCTCTACGATCTCAGCTCTCACTTTGATTAACAACGGGGCTGAGTGAAATGTAACAGATTACTCAGATACAACTCCTTATGGATACGCTATGAAGAACAATCACGAAGATTTGTGTATTTTCTTAATTCAACAAAACAAGATCATAGATCTCCCTATTAACTCAATTGTGAATAACCCAGACCACGAACTGAACAAACTCGCCAACCTAAGCAGCTACGTTAACTCTCCTGAAATGGACGAATTAATTGAGAGAAAAAAGGCTCTTGAAAGTAAGCCAACCTATGAGAAGTTGGAGGAAGAATACATAAAGTTACAGCCTTACAGTCCTTTCTACTATGCTATTAGACATAACATGCAGGGAAATATCTACCTTTTGATCCAGAAGGGATTCAGTCAATTTAGCGCACTTTCTGAGTGAATTATGCAGAACAAGTTCAACCTCTTCCTATCCATCCTTGATATAGCTGAGAAAAATATCATTAAAGAAAGAGCTAATGAAGAGGGGAAGAACTTACTCCACATCTACTGTGAGCACATTCAGGAGTCGCAGCCAGATACTCAATTGGCACTCGAGATTTTGCAAATAATCCTTGACTCAGGTCTCAATCAATATGAAGTAGACAAGAAAGGAAGAATCCCTCTCCATTATTGATACATGAGAGGCAACATTTTCATTGCAAATAAGCTTCTTGGTGGCAAAAATAATGAAGAGAAGATACAAATCCTGAACATCTGTGATCATGAGCAAACCACAGTATTTGGAATGCTCTTCCATAATCTTTCAATGGGGAATTCTTCTAACCCTCTGAACCAAATGGTGTGTAATGTTGTTGGAGAAGACACCAAAAAGTTAAACCCCTTCGTAAAATTCAGAAAAGAGCATTTCCCATATACCCAACTATCTTACTGATTTGAAGACGGTGAAATGATACACCCGGTTATCCTAATGTATGATATAAATCAATACATTGACCCATACCTGCTAAGCACCTTTGATCCTGTAGGAATTGTCAGCCCTGACTCACAGTTTTCACTTCTCTGCCAGCTCTTCAAGCTTGGAAGAATTTCTCTGTTATCATTGCCAATGTTTAAAAATTCTGTGGAGAAGTACCTGCAGGACGATGTCAGTATAAAATTTATTGAAGAAACTTTGTCTAAGCCAAACAAGCTTGGATGTTATCACAATGCAAACAGAATGAAAAGGTTCCTTTTGAACCAATTCAGAGTTGAGATAAATGTGAAGAGTGAAGTTGATGACCACATGAACTTCTCATCAGTCAAAGAAAAACTCAGAGAAACCTTTGACTATATTGAAGACTCAGAGAAATATCTTCAAGTGGAGATCCCCAGGCTTCAAGAGCTTTCCAAATCTGATCAGGAATGCGTCCTTGATTCTACTGATAAAAGTGAAAAGCACTGATATGTGGTCAAAGATGAAAACGAAACCAAATTCTTCTATGATGCTATGATGAAGAAGGTGGACATTAAAAAGTATTATTATGGGCTGGATAACTTCTATGTCCTCCAATTACTCTATGACCCAGTGAAAAATATCTATATTGTTTGGACTAGATGGGGAAGAAGTGGATCTCAAGGCCAATACCAAAGAACTCCTCTTAAGAAAGAAGAGGCTATAAAAGAGTTCAAAAGAATTTTCAAACAAAAAACTGGGGTTAAATGGGAAGAAGTTAAGGATTATACTAGAGTTCCCAAGAAATACGACGTTAAAAGGCTTGGAGGAAAACTCACATCAAATACTAACAAAGCACTTAAATTCTCTAATGCTGATTTTGATTATACTAAACTTTTAATTCCATGGGAAAAATTGGAGACAGACATCGAAATGAAAAATCCAGAAGAGTTCAAGTACTTCATCAAACCCCTCACAAGAGATGATCATATTATTCAAAATTTTACTTATTCCAATTTTTCAAGATCCTTAATGGTTCTGGCTCCTCAGGATAAAGAAACAGTTGATGATGCTATTAAGCTTCTCTACAATATGAGAAAGATTATTAAAGAGTCAACAAATCACACTTCTCAGAGAAACTTTGAGGCGTACTGAGCTTGCATAGAAGAGATTGAGAAACTTAACAGTGAATACCTTGAGCTTATCCCAAAAACAAACCCTACTATGATCTCAACTCTGCTGCATCAGCATGAAGTAGATGCTGAAATCCAAAGACTAAAGTCAATTTATTCAATTTCCTCTTCTGTAAGATCTATGCTTGGGGCCTATCTGAACAAGGATGAGATAAACCCATATGACTACATCTTAGGAACACTGAATCTGAACATGAGTATTATTGATTTAAACTCAAATGAGACGAAGCTGATCCTTCACTACCTCAACTCTTCTCGTAGTAATGGCTATAACCTCAGAAATGTAGTGAGAATTGATGACTTGGAGTACACAGATGAGCAAAATGATAGATTTGAGAATACACCAAACCATATGATGCTCTGGCATGGCACTGGAGCTGATAACATCATCAACATCATGAGAAATGGGCTGAAAATTGCACCTGATGAGGCATTCCAGCATGGGTCTAGATATGGGAAAGGATTGTACTTCTCAGACTCATTCGAACTCTCTTCTTGCTACTCCTCTGAAAGCGACTGAGAGAAGTACATATTGCTCTGTGAAGTAGCAACTGGGAAGATGGTAAACATCCTTTCCATGATGAACCAAGAATTAAAGAAGACTCCTAACTATGACTGTATCAGAGTTATTCCTTCAACTGGACCTAACTGGGATGGATCTGTTGTCAAAGATGATGTGGTTTACCCTATTGGAAGAACTATTCATTATCCTCCTCCTATTTTCAATGCTTTGTCTAATAAGAGACGCTCACAAAGGTCTTCAAGCAGGAGATCTTCAAGAGGACAAAAAGTCAAAGACATGGGAAAATATGAAATAGTTGAGGAAGGGCTTGAATCTGAAGAAAGCGAAGAAGAGGAACAAAAATTTATCAAGCCCGCTTTTGCTCTAGGAGCTAATACAGTCCCAGCAGTAAGAAAATCTGATAAGATGGCTAAAAAGAACGAACTTATGATACTAGAGGATAATGATGATGTAGTCTTTCCTATTCTTCCAAACCAGATTACAGCTGCTACTCGCTCAGATATCAAGGAATACAATAAAAGATTGAACAATCTCCACTCCTATAACCACCACTCAGAGTACATAATATACAATGAAGCTTTGGTCAGAGTCAAGTACATCATCCAGCTATCTGCAAAGCCTAAATCTAAGATTAAAAAGGAGATGAACAACGGTATGATGTTCAAGAAGAAAGCTCATCGTAAAGCTAAAATCCCTAAAAATAGAATGGTTGCAACCCAATATGGAAGAAAGAAATACAAGATGTAATGAAAATAAATAATTCAATCTCATCACAGTACATTGGGGTTTTGGGGTTTTGGGGTTTTGGGGTTTTGGGG